GTGAACCTCGGAGGTAACTTCACCACTGAGCTAAAAGGGTGTCTGGGGGCCATACTCTTGAGGTTTCTCCAGTCTCCTTTAGGCCAGTAAATCTGGTCTTTTTTTGTGTGTGTGAGTTAGAATTATGCTCTACATCCTTCTCCAGCTCTGTCCAGTATTAAAATCTTTTGAATGGTCTTCCCAGCATCAGTGTTTTCCTTTCTTTAATCCTCTTGCCAAAGCTCTGGTTTAATAAGCCTGTCTCTCTGATCTAATGACTTCTTGGTTCAAAGAACCAAGCTACTTATCTTGTTATTCATAACACCCAATCTAACTTCCAACCAAACACTCCTCATAGTATGCACTCTTTCCAGATGAACTTGTTTTGTGTACTCTTGCTCTCCTCCCGTTCTGCTTCAGTTCACGCACATTTTCCTTGCCCTAAAAGGCCTTCACGTGTCCAAACTTTCCTTCCTCTATAAGGCACAGCTCAGGGGTCACGTCTTCCATGATGTGTTTCTTAATCCCTCCAGGTAGAAGGTTACTTATTGTCTCTGAGTGTTTCTGTTACTCTTTTGTGGCAGTTTCTACATTTAATCAGGTATTAGATTTTCCTTGGATTAGCCTAAGCCTGTTGCACACTATAGCCACCTTATGAGTTGTTTTCTTTCTGGCCTCATAATTGTAACTCACAGTGCCTATCCCAGGGTCTTGGGCTCAGTCAGTGCTCAGTACATATTTATTACAGGAATGAATGGGTGAAAAATAAATGAATGTAAATGATAGTGATTGTTTTCAATGCTTTCCTGTGTGAGCCACATTGGTTTATTCAAGAAAAGAGCGTTCCATGAAGAATCTAAACGTGAAGAAATAAAACTTACCTTCAGGATGGCATTATTTATGATAGATAGACATAGATTCATGCAGTTTAATCTCTCTTAAATTACCTTCCAGTTGACCAGTTCAACTTAGTTGATTTCCTCATCTCCAGTACTCTCCATTCCCTCCATACAGTGACTGATGTGTACTGTATCCCAAAGTTCATAGCTGCTCGACTACTCTCGATTATTCCCATGTACTTCTGTTCCTACAGCTTGACTTACAAGCTTAGCAAGTCAGTTGTGTTTGTTCCCAAGCCTTGATCCCTGCTATTGTTATCATAACATAATTTAATTAAATGTTACATAATCTGATGAAATTTTGAGGGTTGTAAGAGTTGTGTCTGTGAGAATTAAATTGCTTGAAAAGATATGATACGGGTGAGTTACTAAAAAATAATGCCGTTATTAAAACTAGGCATCAGTAAAACAACTGTGAAAATTTGAGCAGGAGGCAGAGAACAGAAAGTTAAAATTTAGAAAGATTCTGCATTCAGATTGCTTCGTAAGTATCTCTGATTTCTTACTCCACCTTAAAAAAGCTTAAACTGGAAATGATAGAAGATTATAGGTATGGTTTATGCAAGAAAGAGGATCCATGCTGAATCTCAATGCAAACTCTAGTAAGGAATCCATAGGGGCTTCGGCCATGTGTCAAAGATTGGCTCCCAAATGTGCAGTTATATATTTTAAATTAAAATAAAATGTTTACATGATATCACTTGTGTGATTTTCCACTTTAACTGATTTTTTATTAACTGTTTGAGAGGTCTTCTTTATACATTGAAACCTGTGAGAGCCAGAACTTGACAGGACTGCCTTGTTTTTCCAGGTCTCGCAAGTTTTCCGTCTTTACCACTTTTCTATTGCTCGTTTTAGTGGAAAATATTTGAGTTTTCCTTCTCTGACAGGTTTCCGCCTTACACAAATTGCAGCTTTCATAGGTTTTACTGTACATACATACATGTGTACATACATATGCCCACATACGTACATTTACTGCATATAGTGTCATACATAGCTTCATAGCTAGTGGTGTTTCTCAACCATTTTCATCTGTTCAGTAAATATAACAACCTCACATCATCCTTTAATGCTATTTTAAATTAGAACAAAATTAAACATCATTGCTTAAAAAGAAATCAAAATGATGGACCAGGGTTCTGCATTTTTTTTTCCCTCTACCACCCTCTTTTAGAATCTAATAAATTCGCCCCTGGCTGAGACTCTTTGATTAATAGACATGTAAAAGCATATGGAGAGAAGGAGACTGGGTGTGTGTAAGAGGCGTGATATAGTGTGCAAAGAGCATGGAGTCAGAGAAACTTGAATCTGAATCTCAACTTTGTGCACAATGAAGTTACTAAGTGTCTCTGATTTTCATTTTCCTCACCTGTTTAATTTTTTATTTCATGGATTTACATAAGATAATATGTTGAAAGGACTGTGTATATAATAGGTACTTAATAAAGGATAATTATTTTTATTATTTTCCCTATTTTTAAAACGAGAGTCGTAATATGAACCTTGCTATATATGTATATATACGATCATTCTGTGTTTTGCCCCTACTCCATAGCTACCGTCAGAGAGCCCAGAAGCTGTCGGAAATTCACAAGGATCAACCTGGTCACCCTGTCAATCGGACTATCTATTGGATAGATTACATTCTTCGCCACAATGGAGCCCATCACCTACGTGCCGCTGTTTATCAAATCTCTTTCTGTCAGTATTTTTTACTGGATATTGCCTTTGTGCTTTTGCTTGGTGCTGCCTTGTTTTACTTCCTTTTATCCTGGGTGACAAAATTTGTCTACAGAAAAATCAAAAGTCTCTGGTCTAGAAATAAGCATAGCACAGTTAATGGACATTACCACAATGGAATCCTCAATGGCAAGTACAAACGAAATGGCCATATTAAACACGAAAAGAAGGTAAAATGAGCCAACAGTCCAGGTGATGTTAACAAATCTGTTCAGTCATTGAATTTTTATCACTATAATTTAGTCTAACAACTACTAAAAGTAATATGTCAGTAAACAATTCTAACACTCCCTTATCAGATCTTACTAATGAAATTCTGTGGAATTAAGATGGCTGTAAAAAGCACAAACCTAAAATGCAAAAACGTATTTTATCCAAGTACTGATGCAGAGAGTTATGGCACTGAACCTTTTAGAAGCCTTAATTATTTAAATCAATTAAGTGACGGCGTCCAACCTTAGTTTTAAATCTTAATATGTGTGTGTCCTGGATAAGGAATAGTTTCTTTTCTCTTATTTGTGTGTGTGTGTGTGTCTCCTAATTAAGAGGATTGTAGCTGGCTGCTTGTTAAATTTGTTGAAGGTACAACACATTCAAGGGTGAAGTAGAAAGACAGGATTCAAAATGTTTCTCTTCTAGCATTTAATATGTGTGAACTCAGAACTTTACCATGAAAGAACATTTTCCCTTCAAAACTGAATGCCGAGGAAGAAAATGAAAAGACAAACAGCAAGGATTTTTGTACTTTTTGTTTTTAGTTTGTTTGTTTGTTTTGTTTTTTGTTTTTATTTGCCTTTTCTTACAGACTATGGACATTTCTGGAAGGGTGGGAACCCATGCAATTACATAAATGTATACATTGGTTGTCACATTTTATTTGTTTTCCCTCTACCAATAATTTTTCTCTGGAAGAATTTTATAGCTTTTTTTTTTTCATTTTAATGAGTAACATTATGTTAAATGCATAATTCTGACAAAGCAACAAAGCTCTGATTTTTGTTCCAAGTCCTGAAAATTATTGCTTGTACAGCATTGTTAAACAGGGCAGTGTTTATGTAATTGATGACTTTTTTTATAATGTGATTTTTGAATATTCAGGTGTTATATTTCCCAAGTTTTATTTAAAAAAAAACAACACAACTTTGTCATCCCTTTTATTGTCTGGGCCATACAATCTATATTACATAGTTGCCAACGTTTAATTCTTTTTGGAACATTTGCAGTTCTCTATATAGGTAACTGCTGTGTCTTGACAGGTTGGAGATCTTGTTAACAAATCAAACTTTACATGATATACAGAAGCGACCGGAAAAATCATACTAGTTATTTGTGAAAATGGGTTTCTATTTCCCTCATCACTCCTTCACTCCCACCTCAGCAGCCTTTTTCAGTCATTGTGGCTGGCATGGAACAGTGACAGTATTCATTTGAGAATAGGGATGCAAGTCACAGACATAAAATCAGGACATGCCTGTTGAACCATTCACTGGTTGGCAGCCTTGAGTTTATTCCATGTCATTCTGTTTACTTAGCATTTGCACTACACATGTTGAGTGTATGCTTTATTTATTTGTAGTTTTAAAGTCCCACGTCTGACAGCTAAGAGTGGAAAAGTACGCCATTTACCTAATGTCGTTCACTAACACGGGAAGTGTTGTGAAAATTCTAGAATGCTGTAAATCCTTGTCATACACAGTGACATACAACTTCATTACACTCCCACCAGGAGCCACTCTCCTATACTTAATGTCACAAGTAGTTTTCTAATGTACAGTGCAGACAAATGTACTGCTCTCTGAATACTTGAAGAAATGGTGTTATGCATATAAGCCCATTAGTTATACCTTTTCACAATCTTTTCACAATGTTGCGTTAAATGGGAAAGAGACACAGGCAATGAGTGGTGGGAAGGTAACAGGACTTAGAGTGTATGAATGAGTTGATTTTACCTTTTTTGGAATTGGATGAAGTTGACAGTAAGCAGTGACTGGATGATTAAGCATAAGTTAATCTCCACTGTGATAAAAACTTAATAAACATGATTTAAAATAGAGGAATGTTGTTGGAATAAAATTTTTATTCAGATTTTATTTCACAATATTATGTATATCCATTATGAAAAAACATGTTTCTAAGGCAGGTCTCCCAACTTTTATATGTGGATATGAGTGTAAAAACAGTGTATTACATGTGAGAATGTTTTTATCATTCTTAAACAGAGGGACTTACAAGTACATCAACATGGATATTAAAACTCTGTCCCATAAGAATGTTAAGTGGAGGTATCTTCCGATCACTGTTGGTTTTTTTTAGTAAGTTTATTGTTAGCCAGTATTGGTAAATAAAGTGATTTTTAATTTTCCACACTTGGGATAGATTCTCTAATAAAGTTTTCAAGAAGGTTTTCTTTCAAGAAAGTATTTTATTTTTTTATAAAGAGCTTCTGCAGATATTTTCATACTTGGCCATCATCATGTCAGCGAATGAAAATTAAGACGTCAATCCACTTTTCCTCTAGAGAAGTAACTTCTAAATACCCCCTCCAAATAGACATAGAGGCAGAATTTGGATGTCCAGGATTGGAGGGGCTAATGTTTGGGAGAAAGCAAGAGTTTATGATCTTTCAGAAGCTGAAAAAAGTTAGGAATACTCTTTTGAGAATATAGAAACTTTATATATAACTTGGGGGCATTCTCATGCTCCCAGGTACTACATTTATCACCTTCTGGAAGGTCTCCTACAGTGTTTAACAATTAGGTTTGGCAATACTATCCTCAAAGAATCACCTCTCAACTTTATCCAACTGCACATTGACCACCCCACCCCTAGATTCTGATAACTAACACCCCTACTCCAACCCCACCTCACTGGAATCTCAGAGACTCTCATTTCAAAACCCTAATCACGTGGTCTGGTATCTGCCCTTGCCCTCCTCCAACCCTGCTGGGAACCACTGGTGTCAAGGCACAGGAGAAGTCCTGTGTGTCATCATGGTTTCTTCTACTCATTCCTGCTTCCACCAAGTCTACAAGAATATTTGCATTCAGATGACCCGATGGATTCTGATAGCCTGCCTCAGTGGCCTGCTTCGATCTCTGCACTGTAATTAGGCCTATTAAAAAAACAAAAACCCATTGCCATTGCTAACTCTTTGGTTAGCGGCCGGACTCTTAACCACTGCGCCAGCAGGGCTCATTAGGCATGGTAATTACACATTATAGGGCAGAAAACATGCAGTGAAATTAGCGTGAAGGAAGTTCAATTTGGTGTTGTGGTAACACCTCTTGGACCATTCTGTTTGCAAATGGTAAGTGTCTTTCTCTGATGTACACAACTGCAGGGAAACCAGGAAAGCATGTTTATCCACCAGAAATTAGCAACTGCCATGGAAGACATTCATCCAGCAATCAGTAAATATCTGCTTCCTACTAGAAAGTATGCTAGATGCTGGGAGAATTTACAGATGACTAGGGCAATGCCTGTCCTTCTAGGAGCATGTGATGTGGTGGGAGTTACAGGCACATAAGTAACTATAAGGCAAAGTGGTGAGAGCTATAGCAAGTGTGTGTGCAGGTACTCTGGGAGAACCCAGGAAGAGCAATGCCATGTCAGAAAAGCCTTGGTGTGCACCAAAGACAGCTCCACCTCATTACCTACTTGTTTTGTCGTTTTTGTTGTTTTTAATACAGGTTTGATATGATTAATTCCTTTATATTTGGGTTAAAGCAATGGTTTATGATCTTTCGTGAACTTTTTTTTTTTTGAGAGGGTCACATTTTGAACTAAAGCTGTGGTTATCAGAAGGCCCTAACTTTGAAGGCTGGCTCCAACATTTACTGATTTTTATCTTTTGAGTTTCTTATTTGGATAATGGCACTTACCTCACAGGAGTCTGCATCTAACTGAAAGGTTAGTGGTTCTAGTCTGCCCAGAGGCACCTCGGAAAAAAGACCTGGCAATCTACTTCTGAAAATCAGAAGTGACATTTGTGGGTTCATGGGGTTGCCATGAGTTGGAGTTGACTCAATGGCAACTGGTAATTATTTCGCAGGGTTATAAAGTGTGTATGTATGTGTGTGTGTATATATATACATATACATATATTTGTATATATATGTGCATATATATATATACGTGTGTGTGTATAATATGTTTAAAACATTTAGCATTAGCACAGAGTGAGCACTCACAAGTGTGGTGTTACTATAGTCCTGAATATACTGAATAGACCAACACCTTTCATATTACAGTGCATTGGGTTCTTGAACATCGTTGAACTTTTTGTTCATTCACCAACTGTGTCTTAAATATTTTATTTGCCTGGTGCTGTCGTAGGTACCAGTGGTGCACTAGGCCGGAACAGTTATTTCTTGTCTTTTGTGTTCAAAGCTCAGCGATTCACCAAATCCCAAAGTGTTGCGAAACTTGAATGACTTCACTTTGGAAATAAAAGGTTGAAATATGAAAGAACCAAAATAAATTGGCAAACAATTTCAAGGGATAATTCACTAATCTGTTTTATTATTGAAGTATAATTCATTTGTCATTTTTGCTTCTAAATAATTCAACTGTAAGTGTAAAATCACATTAGACAAAGGTTATTTGCAATTGGTATAATCTAAAACAATTTGAAATAGAAACATTTTAAATTTGATCTGGCAAAGTTTAAGAATTATATGAATTCTATTAGTGAACTTCTCCAAAATATGCATCAAAGAACTTCTTATACTTCTGAGACAGTGAGATTTTTAGCCAGATTTTGAAGACATATTTCCTGCAAAGATACAAGTGATATTTTGGCAGACAGCAGTAACATTGTTCCAACCAATTGTAGTTAGAAATGTCATAAATCCACACAATTAAAATAGTCATTGTTATTTTTCTGCAAATTGTGCAGAATGCTACAAGTTCCCAATCACTTGGGTGATTGAGTTGCTGAGTTGGGGATGGTAGAGGGAGAATGGTATGGATGCCATACTCTTAGTTTTCAAAATACGGCAACAACAAGGAACACAATAATTCCACCCTTTATTTCTGGGCAATTCAGCCATGATTTAAAAGATACTAATTTATATTGTAGTCTACAAGATTACTGATAATATTCCATTAGCATAATAAAATAACTAATTTTTTCAACAGGGTAATATATAATCCATGTTCCAATGGCAAAATGAGAACTACATGTAAAAATTACGTATTATTCAAAGACATTTATCGTAGT